CCCACTGCCCGGCGGGCCCCGCCTCCCGCGACTCCATTGGGCGCTTTGATAGGCTCTGCCACGCCCCCAAGCACCCATAGGGTCCTCGCCTGTGGCCACGCCCCCTAGAGCTCCCATAGGCTCCCGCGCCGGGCTCTTCCTGCCCGAAGCTGGGGCGCGTGCGCACCACTGCTCAGCTGCCATCTAAGGAGGGGCGAACCGGGCGGAAAAGGGAGGGAGGGAGGGGCCTTCTCTGTGTTTTCGCCCCTTGGACGCTTGGGGGCGCCAGAGATGCGGAGTTCGAGTCCCAGAACGTGACTCCACCCCGTCAGGGGCGGGGACCAGGGTGGGCCAGTCTGGCACTGGAGAGCTGGTGGGGGTGGGGGGGTCGGGGGGGAGGAGTCCAGGCAGCCCCGGAGGAAGGAAGGCAGTGTCCACACCTGGGACCAAGGTCCCTGGGCACCGGTGGACACGCATGGCATGCCCCGGCCCAGGGAGCAGCCCTAAGGGCGTGTCAGCCCTCTGGGCCCTGGCAGTGTGGGATCGTGTCCACCCATTCGTGGGACAGGCTGCAGGCAGCGGCCTGACCCAGCCTCTGACTCACCCGCCTAGTGACCAAATAGCTGGAATCCTACACCACCACAGCCCAGCTTTTCCCCGCCTCTGGCGATGGTCAGGAAGTCCCTCCCTAAGTCACACTTCAGGCTGATAGAGGGTTGCTAGCCGGGCCCCTAGAACTGGACTGCCCTGGCAGGTCCTGATACTGGGCCCGGAGGCCGCCATCTCTCCCAGGTCCCTGCTTCTCTTAGGTGAGTGCCCTATGGCCCTGGTCTGCAGGGCGGGGCAGGGTGGGACTGCCCTTGCCCGCTGGCAATTCAAGGCCACTGGGACCTCAGCTGGCACCCCAGAACTATTGAGCTCACTGGGGAGGGTTTCTGTGTCACTGGGTCCCAAGAGAAACAGATCTGACCCCAGGGGTGCTGCCCCCTGGCCCCACTGCCCGTTCTCCTCCATAGCTGGGGTGACTCAGCCCAGCACCCATGCCAGTCCCAGGCAGCTGAGAAGGGGGAGGAGCAGGCAGAGCCCTGGAGTGCTCTGGAGGGAGGAGGAGCCCATAAGTGGGAGGGAAGACTTGCGTTTCACTTTCTCTACCCCCTGGACAAACAGGAGAGCCAGAGAGGGGAGGGGCCACTCTTCCTTGACCGAAGTGGGCACACTGGACAGGGCCCTGGCCTGACCCCGGGACCAGGAACAGGGCATGTCTGGGGCACAGAGAATGGGTTGTGGGCTGGGGCTGGGAATGTGGAA